CCCACGGCGCCGTCATTTTGATTTCGCAAGCAACAACGGTGTAGCAGCTCTAATGCCATGACAAAAGTTTGAGCAAAGCATGCTAACTGTTCTGCCTTTGGCTGCACAAACGAGCACAGAACACGGTTTAGAGTCCCAGCCTCAGAGGAGACAAGAGAGCAGTGGATTTATTGATGTATTTACTCGCAACGTCTCAAATCGCAATTTCGATTCGATTTCGATTAATCGCACAGCCCTACTGTACAGTGCACAAAAAAAATCGGTCTGAATAAATGTACTACAGTAGAACATGTGCGATACAGTTTTGCATGTGTATGAGCCTGTTTACAAACCTGTTGTCCAACAAAGATATAATTTAAACTTCTGCTATGGATATGTGGCGTTTCTGTGCAAGAGCGCCCTCCGGCTTCCAGTATGAATTAAACAGTCTTTACATTAGGTGTGTACTCATTAATGTTCACCCTATTTTGGATAAAAATAGGAAAGATAATACTTTTCTCTAAAGAAACAGGATTCCCAGAATTATCGTCATTGATATTGTTATCGTAATAAATAGCAGAAATATCGGGATATATTTTTAAGCCCATATCGCCCATCCCTACGGTGTTATCATCACATCCAAAAAATATGGCAATACCAGAGTACTTTTGTAAGCAAAAAGATACTTTGCTACACAAATTAAATGTCAAGCACAGCAATCAGGCATTCCTTTAAAACAATAGAGAAACATGAAGGTCAAACACATTAACTCATATCGTCAGCTCAGTAACTCAACAACAACAACATGAAGCAAAACCAAGAAAACAACAATTCGGGCCAAAGAGTCAAACTAAAAATATTCACTTTGCCCTTGTCAAAGACAAAGGAGCATTAATTTGCCCTGTTATTATTTAGAGAGGGCAGGACGAACAAACCTGAGCCCGTTGTGACCCTGCCACAGTGTTGCAACTTGTTCTAGAGCGATGCCAGCTGAAGGCAGCACCATATGCCCGTAGCCTCGGGCCCGATGCTCTTTCTGCAGCCTAATACGCCTGTCAGGAGAAGTTACTGTCACAAATCCTCTGTTTTTCCACAATGTGTTTCAAATAAACAGATTTATTTCTCTTGTTAACAGAATTGTCCTCAGAGATTCCACTTAGAAGGTCAGTATTTGGTTCTACTGTACTGACAACATCTATGTTTTTAAGATTTTTTTTGGATTATTTTTTACAATCATGTTCATTATTTTATATATGTTGACTCAAGATACAAATATATATATATATATATATATTAAATAAAAATAAATAATAAAAAATTAAATAAATGTAATTCTACCAACCAAGGAAACGTTAAAAAGATTAACCCAGTAACTTTGTTTTGATAAGCTTTTTTCTGCAAGCATCTGATCCAGTTACATTCTGGGGACCCCTGAGACTTATATTACATATTGTAAAAAGGGGCATAATATGTCACCTTTAAAAATATTTTTTTTAAATAACCAAATTATTTGTGCCAAATATTTAAAGAATACATAGCTGCTGAAACTAAGCATCATAAATACTAGCATCGAGTCGACTTCCACACTTCCTCTCATCACAGGCTATGGGCAAGTTTGGTCCAAGCGGAGCTGACCTTGCCGTTTACTACAAATGACGCCCCCCTTCATCCACAACGATTGGGGTTTTAAGTCAACCAGAGACTAAAACGCTCAATAAATCAGTGCCTTCAGCCAAAAAGACCCTGTCATGCCTTCAAATTGAAAAAAAATAAAAAAAGTATGACAAAACATTTCAGCACTGATAATATCAGCGAAGCATACAATGAATAATTTCAAGGGCATTTGTACTAAGATAAGACGCTTATGGGTGATTTTAATACCTCTCCATAAAGGTCATGTGATATCGTTCTTGTGAAAGAGCGCCATCGCAGTCAAAAGACTAGAGTTGGGGATTATATGCCATGTTTAAGGGAAAAAAAAATCAAACGAAAGGTCTAGAGTGTTGCAACCTCAGATTGAGAAGTAACATTCCATTAGTCAATGCAGTGAACATTTAAATCCATAAAATAAGCATAACATTCACATCCACTGACACCCACTAAAAAAGAAACTGTTTTAATACAACAAAAAAGCATTTCTTATTTCTAATCGGTGACCTCAGAGGAAGCACTCAGTATCTTAGTTACTGAAGCACACCAAACGTCATTAGGATGATGTGGATAATTACGGCACATAAGACCTCTTAAGCATGTAATACAGTCTTTTTATCTGGAGAAGTCAATCTCTGCGAGGCTGACAGCTAGCAGCATATGATCCCGGTAAACAAATACTTTCACGCGGCACCAAAGTGCCATTAAAGGCCAGAACTGTCAACACAAATTCCACTCTTGCAAGAGGAAAGGAAAGGGAGGGGGAAAAAGAAAAAAAAGACTTGATCACCTCTGGTTGCCTTAACATGCATGAAGGTTGTCATGGAAACATTTCTGTGAAGTTAACATGGATACAAACAGAAGGCTTTCCGGCTTAAATGCCATTAGAGTTTTATGACCGTTTAGAGATGTATATTAAAACACACAAAGGGTAATATGTTGCTTATTGTGATGATAATAACCCTAACAAAAAACACCTTAAATTCAAGTACAGGTGTGCATTTTTTATTTATTTTTTTTTGTTAGACGCCTTATGAAAGAAAAACTATTAATTAAACTCACGATTTCAAACAATGAAACAGTCCCACCCACATTACTCTCGATACGAATAAAGGAATAACCTAGAAGTGTTCAGCTCGCCGTGGCATCTTAACTCAGACAAATGATTTTATTTTACTCAATGCACACACATTACTAAACAAAAGGATGTGTCTTTTTCCTTTTAGCACAAAGCAGTGCATTGCACACACCCCAGCCGATAATGAATGCCGTAATCAGGCTGCGACTACAAAAACATCAGGATAATTCGAATTTAGGCCCCTCTTTCCTGTCGTGGGTCAGCTGTGCCTCCCTCCCTCCATGTGTCGGACGTGAAACATCATGCTCATTGAAACACTGCTAATTAAAATCACCTGCGAAGAACTGCGTGGGGCTAACAAAGGGCCGGGCTTCACTTTACAGAGCACGTCTGGGGCTGCCGAGGTGTGTGTATGTGTTTGAAATTTTACTACTGCTATTACGGCCTCTTTGAAGCGACGTGATGCACACCTGCACTTCACCTGCACAGCTGCCGGAGTGAAACGGAGGTGCTTCTGCAACCAAAACTCTCAGAGCTAATCACAGCCATGATAGGAGCTGTAATACTATACACCTTGTTTAAAAAAAAAATGTAAAAAAGTCACGTACCCTATTGATTTAGTCCCAGATCCCTTGAACCCACTGAAACTGCTCTGGCAGAAGATGTGGTTGAGTCTTAAGAGGAGTGCTGTCCATTAATACTCCAATACATCAACCTTACTGTCCTGACATTCACTGCTGCTGTGAGCAGCTCTAAAGCAATGAAGAATTCACTCTGGATTATGGAAATGGAGTAAGCAACCACGGTAAGATTAATGTTAACCTTGATTATAATTATAATAATAATAAAATCTAGTATGCATGATTTATTATCTATATTACTAATATATATA